GAGAGAGAGAGAGAGAGAGAGAGAGAGAGAGAGAGAGAGAGTAAGGGACCACAGAGTAAGGGATCTTTTGCTGCAGCAACTGACATCAGCCTTCCCATCACCCAGTCTTGATTTCTTTCTGGTTATTCCAATCAGCTAGTTCAATGCCCATCTATTATCCCAAAGCGCACGGAGGCCTATCCACCTTCCTAGGAGGTGAGGCTCAGCTCTGCTCACTGGGCTTGGGCCACCTAAGCCCCAAGGGTCTACTTCAGGGTCTGATTGACAGGTCTTTTGACAGTGAAGACTTCATCTTCAAGCAGGGGCAGCAAAGCCCTCTTCATTCATGGGTATCTTTACTGACAATGTACTTGGAGTTCTGTGAATCTTCCTACGGGCCTTTTTTTTTTTTTTAAATGTATTTGGTTCAGGGTCTCACTATGCCGGATTCCGTGGCTAGCTCAGCGCGCCGGGGACGGGGCAGGCACGGCGTGCTGTACCACGGATTGAACCCCGGTCCCTGCGTTTGCTTAGTCCCCCGAGCCTATCTAGCAGGCCCGCTATTCTTTCATTCACTCATCGAGGAGTATTTGCTAGGCAGCTACAATGTGCCCTCCCACTTTCCACCCCTTAAACACGTCTCTCTCGCACACCCGGCTGAAATTAAACCACTCGCGGGAGAAAAAGTCTGGCCCGGACGCGCCGCGCAGAGCAGCGCCCCGCCGAGCTCGCGCCGCCACGTGACGCGCCGCGGGGCGCGCAACCCCTCCCGTCGCTCTGGATTGGCGCACGACAGCGCCTCGTTCCGGCCGCGGCCCGCGCCCGGGTCGGCCATAGCGTCTCCTCGGAGAAGGCGTGCCGAGGGCGCGCCCCCAGGAAAAGAGGCCATTGGCCTTCGCCCCGAGCAGGGTGGGGCACGGCGCAGAGGAGCCGCGCGGCCTTCGGACACCGCCCCTGCACGGGCTCACGGAGAGAGCCGCACAGGGCGGGCCCTGGCCGGCGGAAGCGGAGCGAGCGCGGCCGGAAGGCAGCTGGCGGTTGGGCGCGGGGCCCCGAGGAGGCCGCGCCATGGCGGCCGAGGGGACAGCCGTGGTCGGAGGCGGGGCTGCCGGCGGGAGCCTGGCCAAGGACACCTCGAGGCCGCCTAAGCTCCCCAGCGCGAGCGCGAGCCGGAGGCGCTCCTCGTCGCTCTCGCGTGACGCTGAACGCCGCGCCTACCAGTGGTGCCGGGAGTACCTGGGCGGGGCTTGGCGCCGAGTGCGGCCCGACGAGCTGAGGGTTTGCCCCGTGAGGTGGGAGGTCAAGGGTCAGCCCCTCCTGCGCGCGGGTCAGGGTTAGGGGTCCCCCTTGGGGTCGTCAGGACTTTGCGCGCTCGTGCAGCCCCAGAGCGCCTGAGTCTGGAGCAGAGCTGCGAGCCAGGATGAGGCCGGAGCCGCGCTGGCTGGGCTAGGGGTGGGGATAGTTGGCGGGGATGGGAGGTGCGGTCCTCAATGAGGCTGGGGCGGGGCCATTGGTGGGCGGGGTTCGCGGTTGACAGGTTGGGATGAGGCTAGTGGTGGGCCGGGATCAGGGGATGGAAGGCGGGGACCTGATGGACCGGGTGGGGTGGGCGGAGTCCACGTCCGGTGGACGAGCACCTGAAAGCGCCGGGTGTGGGTCTGCAGCGGAGGCCTCAGCAACCTGCTCTTCCGCTGTTCGCTCCCGGACCATCTGCCCAGCGTTGGCGAGGAGCCCCGGGAGGTGTTGCTGCGACTGTATGGGGCCATTCTGCAGGTGAGGAAGGGATCAGAGTCACAGCGGCCGGTGACTTTAGGACCTATCTCTAAAGTGGGGCAGGCAGTGTTGTCCCGATTGCACAGTTGAGGGCCCTGAGGCTTACAGGTTAAGTTGGTTGCACCTTATCATCCTAGATAGAGCCTGTGCTCTAGGGCCTCCAGTAGTAGGACCCGAAATCTTAGCTGAGGTGGGTGGAGAACGCAGATGTCCCTGTGTAACAGCGCTCATTAAGCTCAGGCCCCTCCTAACTTAGGCCCCTTTGCTATCCTTTTCCGTCAGGGCGTGGAGTCCTTGGTGCTTGAAAGCGTGATGTTTGCCATCCTTGCAGAGCGGTCGCTGGGACCTCATCTCTATGGAGTCTTTCCAGAGGGCCGGCTGGAACAATACCTCCCAGTATGAGCTCAGCCCACTCCTTCCTCAACCCCTTTCTCCCTCCCCCAGTGTCTTCCTTCACATCCCAGGTAGAGAATTTTCCCCAAGACCTCGATCCCCTCCAGTCTACTATCCCTTGCCCCTCCTGCCCCAGCCCCATCACCACCCTGATAGGCTACTGGGTGCAGAGCCGGCCACTGAAAACTCAAGAGCTTCGAGAGCCAGTGTTGTCAGCAGCCATTGCCACGAAGATGGCCCAGTTCCATGGCATGGAGATGCCTTTCACAAAGGAGCCCCACTGGTTATTTGGGACCATGGAGCGGTGAGTCAGGTTTGGAATCTGCATACCTGAACTGAACCTTCACTGTGTCACCCTTCTAGCTGAGTGCATTACGTTTTTCAACCAAGTCACACAGTGACAGGAAAACCCATGACTTGTCTGGCCTGAGGTGCAAATAGAGGAGGTGGGATGAATAGCAGACTCTATCTCATTCTTTGCGTTTCAGGTACCTAAAGCAGATCCAGGACCTGCCTTCTGCTACCCTCCTACAGATGAACCTGCTAGAGATGTGCAGCCTGAAGGATGAGATGGACAATCTCAGGTGAGGCAGACAGGATGGGAGTGGGAAGTAAAGGAAACGGCACCTCTCTTAGCAGCATTGCCCACCTATGCTTATGGCTGGGGTCAGGGCCGCCTGGCCTATGAGGGTGATTCTAGTCACTCCTACTAAGGACCTATTGTCCTCTATCACTGCAGGAAGTTCCTAGACTCTACCCCATCTCCAGTGGTCTTCTGCCACAATGACATCCAGGAAGGTAGGAAAAGATATCAACTCTCTCAGTCTAGGGTGGAGGGACTAGAATGCTCTGAAGTGCCTAGACTCCACTTTTGTTTTCCCAGGAAATATCTTGTTGCTGTCAGAGCCAGAAAATGCTGACAGCCTCATGCTGGTCGATTTCGAGTATAGTAGTTACAACTACAGGTGACAGTGGGAGGGTAGCCTCCTGTGGACCCTTTCCTACAGGGCCCCAGAAAAACACAGACCTTCGTGTCTCCCTCCAAGCTGCCCAGTGTATTTGGGGACTGAACATTTACCTTGTTCCCCCAGGGGCTTTGACATCGGGAACCATTTTTGTGAGTGGGTTTATGATTATACTCAAGAGGAATGGCCTTTCTACAAAGCACAACCCACAGACTACCCCACTCAGGAACAGCAGGTATGCCAGCTGGGGGCCAAGAAGCCATACTCATCTTGTAAGGGAGGGTGGAGGTCAAGTCTAGAAGAAATGGCCAGGAAGGATATTAACTGTGAAATATGCCACCTAATTTCTGACACTTGTCATTGATTTCAGCTCCATTTTATTCGACATTACCTAGCAGAGGTAAAGAAAGGTGAGACTCTTCCCCAAGAAGAGCAGAAAAAACTGGAAGAAGATTTGCTGGTAGAGGCCAATCGGTGAGGAAGGAAGAACAGGTTGAGAGTCAGGGAGGGCATGAAAGAAAGGGGCACACATAAGATGCCAGTGCAGAGTAGGGCAGAGATGGAAGAGGAAGTCAAGGCTGGGAGGAGGAAGAGTTTGAGAGCTTGAAGAATCAGCCTGTAAGTTCTTTGAGGATCAGCTAGAATTTGGAAACTACTGGCCTAGGGAGGAGATCCAGGTAACAACAAATGTGATCTTGGAAACCCCTACTTTTCCTGCCCCCTATTCCCAGGTATGCTTTGGCATCCCATTTCTTCTGGGGTTTGTGGTCCATCCTCCAGGCATCCATGTCCACCATAGAATTTGGTTACTTGGTAAGTAGCCTAAAAAGTGAAGGTGTGGGCTAGGGAACAGAGCTACATGTCCTACAGGACATCTGGGCAGCCAAGGTGGGTGTAACACACTGGTCCCAAACCTTCTCGTCACTTTGTGGCATGTGCTTCCTTCCCTAGGAGTATGCCCAGGCTCGGTTCCAGTTCTACTTCCAGCAGAAGAGGCAGCTGACCAGCTTTCACTCATCCTCCTGACTGTCCATCGCTCAGCCCTTGGATTTCTCCTGGAGTCTCCAGGGCAGGACCTTGGAGGAGGAATCAGAGCAAGAAGCTTGGGGGTCTGGGACTGTCTTTGAGTGAGACAGTGGTTGAGGAGACCGGCCTTTCCCTCAGTTTGAGCAGGTCTCTGGGGCTAGCAGGCAGATGGGAACCCCTTGCCTGTACACCTTAATAAATGAGCTTATTCCTTCAAACTGCTTCTTGATACTGCTCAAAAGTGGCAGAAGTACCAGATCAAGGATCCACACAGATGCAGTGACCACTCTGTTCAGGCCTCTGTACCCTGAGATCTTCTGTCCTAAGCCCTCTCCCCTGGCTCCAGCTTAGGATCTAACATCCTAGAAACTGGGGTGGGAGTAGGACAGGGTGGGGATTACAAATGGGGTCCTGGCGCTGCCAGCCCTGGCCGCTATCTGAGAAGAGCCTGCACAGCTGACATGGGTGACCTTTTCCCTACATTTGGCTATTTTTAGCTCTCATGCCACTATCCTCACGTGAGATCTTTTGAGCGCCACCGCCACCGTCCTCCCCCAGGCGCCCAGACCTTCAACCACCTTGATTCCCACCGCGGGAGAGGAGGGGGTTCTGGTTCCTGCCCCACGTTTGTTTTCTCAACCCCAATTTAGCAGTGAGTGTCAGGTTGCCAGTGAGGGCGGGGCTGGGTTGGCCGGGCCTGAAGGACGTGGGGACGCGGGCCAGAGTGGCCTGCCCCGTTCGCTGACAGGAGCGATCTTGAGCTGTGAGTAGGGTCCCAAGCGGCTACCCCTGCCTGCTGAGCCCTCTCCCCGCCCTGGCTCCTAACCTAGCACAGAAGGGCCGGGTGGCGTCTGAAGGGTCCCCATGCCCATGCTGACTCAGTTTCGGGGTGCCTCTCCCCCACCTAGGCTACCCTTCACGGTCCTTGGGACTGTTGCTTTCAAGGACTGGACCTCCTTGGAACTCCTGCCCCACTGTGGAGGGGCGGAGGCCACCGCGAGGGTTTGGTGGCAGTTGGCGGGTGGGAAGGCCAGGTTGGAGGTGGGGGCGGCACGCGTTGGGGGTGCAGGCTGGGCTCCATTAGTGGGGTGGGGTACGGGTGGGGAAGAGCTGGGCGGGGCCTCCTCCCAGGGGTGGCCAGGGCGAAGCCTGAGCGCGCCACACCTGCCACGCTCACAGGTGCCAACCAACCCCTGGGATGGCGGAAGCACACCAGGCTGTGGCCTTCCAGTTCACCGTGACCCCAGATGGGGTGGACTTTCGGCTCAGTAGGGAGGCCCTGAAACACATCTACTTGTCGGGGATCAACTCCTGGAAGAAACGCCTGATTCGCATCAAGGTGAGTGTGAGTTTTCTCCACCTTCCTCTCAGCAAGTGGGAGGGTCAGCTGTTGCCGTGGATAGGAGTCACCCATTTTGCTCGAAGTGCTGCTATGTAGAGGCGCTAGCAGGGCAGAAACCAGAGGGGGAAAATCGAGGTATGGTGGGGAACAGTGAGTAGTGGGGCCTTTGCCAGTAATCGAGGTTGTCTGATTACCTCAACTTCCTGCTCCACAAGCGTGCCTGTTTCTGCTCCACAGAATGGCATTCTTAGGGGTGTGTACCCTGGCAGTCCCACCAGCTGGCTGGTTGTTGTCATGGCAACAGTGGGCTTCTCCTACTGCAAAGTGGACATTTCTTTGGGGCTGGTCTGTTGTATCCAGAGGTGCCTCCCTGAGAGGTAAGAAGCTGGGAGAGCGCAAGAGTAGGGGGAATGGGGAGGCCAGGCCAGCTCTGCAGGCCAGGTACAGGGCAGCAGCCCCCAGAGGCCACCAGGGCAGCCTTCCCCCAGGGCCATCACCATCCCAGGCCCACGTTAGTTTGTACTTTGGCTCAGACCTGAGTATGCCCAGAGAGATTCTTGCTCCTCAGTACATCTCCAGACAGAGTTCACAGCCGTCAACTGCAGGATCAGAACCTCCCCTAGTCACTTGTTGTGAAGGCTCACTTCTAATCCCAGCAGTTGGGAGGCTGACCAGGAGAACTGCTGTGAGCTCAAGGCCAGCTTAGACTATGTAGTGAGCTCAAGGTGAGCCTAAGCTACATAGTGAGACCCTATCTCAAAACACATAAATAAACAAAGGACTAGGGGTGTAGCTCCATGTAAAGGACTTCGGATCAATACCTAGGAGGGAGAGGGAGGGAGGGGAGGAGGGAGGGGGAGAGAGAGAGAGAGAGAAAAGAATTCCCCCAATGATGGCAAATTGCTTTGGGAGGGAGGGAGGGAGGGGGAGAGAGAGAGAGAGAGAAAAGAATTCCCCCAATGATGGCAAATTGCTTTCCTTCTTGCACAGGTGTGGCCCCTACCAGACTCCGCAGACCCGAGAACTTCTCAGCATGGCTATCTTCTCCACCGGGGTCTGGGTGACAGGCATCTTCTTATTCCGCCAAACCCTGAAGTTGCTGCTTTCCTACCATGGGTGGATGTTTGAGATGCACGGCAAGACCAGCCGCTTCACCAAGATCTGGGCTGTGAGCAGAGGCGTTTTAGGGTGCAGGCATCTGACTTGAGCCTCCAGGGCTTCCCTTGGGGTTCTGAGTAGGAGGGGATAGGCAGACTGAGTGCTGGTGCCTTGTACCTCGGTTTGTCCTGAAAGGAGTTTGCATGGTTCTGAGGGTCTCAGTCATTTTCTGGTTTCTGGTTTCTATCCATTCTTCCTGCTAGCTTCCACTCTAAAACTGTGCCCTGTACCCCTAGATCTGTGTCCGTCTTCTCTCCAGTCAGAGGCCCATGCTCTACAGCTTCCAGACATCTCTGCCCAAGCTTCCTGTGCCCAATGTGGCAGCCACGATTCAGAAGGTGAGGGCCTGGGTCCCGCTGGACATGGGAGGACTTGTCTAAATACAGATGTTGGTTGCCTATGAATAGTGCGCTGCAGAGTGATGAGGCTGGGGTGAGGAAACAGAGGTGGGGAGAAGGTCAAGACCAAGGCAGCCAGCAGTGTTTGGCATCATGATGACCACCACTTGGCTGCACAGTACCTGGAGTCTGTGCGGCCCTTGTTGGATGATGAGGAATATTTCCGCATGGAGACTTTGGCCAAAGAATTCCAGGACAAGACTGCCCCCAGGCTGCAGAAATACCTGATACTCAAGTCATGGTGGGCAACTAACTATGTAAGTTTGCCTCCTGGGCTCTACGTCACCCACCTGCCCTGGCTGCCTCTTCCTCACTTCTAACCTTCCACCTACCCACAGGTGAGCGACTGGTGGGAAGAGTATGTCTACCTCAGAGGCAGAAGCCCACTCATGGTGAACAGCAACTACTATGTCATGGTAAGCCCAAGAGCCTCTCGGCTCTGTGTGTACTCACTGTGTTGGCAGTTTCCATGGCTGAGTGGGTGTTTTGGAGTGAGGTCTCAGGCAAAAAGAAAAGGAAGGATAGTCCAGCAACAGCTTAGGGACAGTGAAGATCCTTAGGACAAGGAGAACTCCAAGACCCCGTGGCCTGGCATTGCCTCTCAAAGTCTCTCTAAGCTTTCTGTCCTGCCTAGCTCGGATTGTGTCACTTCCTTCCTTGGCTCCCTCACTGGCGTCCCAGTCATGAGTTTTCAGCTATCCTAATACCTTTTTTTTTTTACTTTTTATTTATGTGTGTGTGTGTGTGTGTGTGTGTGTGTGTGTGTGTGTGGCCAGCTCAGCCCAGCCCACCAGGGGGCGGGGGCTGGCTGGCATGTGGTGCTAGGGGATTGAACCGTGGTCCCTGTGCTTTAGCTAAGCTTGTTTTAAATAGGTGCTTTAGACCACTGAGCCATCTCACCAGCCCCCATATCCTAATACCTTTTGCAGGGAAAGTTCTAATATGTATCTTCTTTTTGTCTTTCTGTGGATCCAGACCACAAGAATAGAGCCAGGTTCTCTAATCTCTTAGTACTCAGGGAGTCACGCAAATGAGTGGCCTTCTCCTGACTGTCTGCAGATGGTTTCCTGCTCCCCAGTACCCAGTCTCTCCTCTTCTGCTGTCAAAAGCACACTCCACTGGAGTAGCCTGCTGGAATTCACATCTTCTACAAATTTTCCCTCCAAAAATGTAGATACTGCCTTTCCAAATCAAGGGTTTAAAGCTGTTTTTTAGTGGTGGAACTATTTTGCTTTTTTGAAGCAAAAAAAAAAAAGCAAAACCTGAACAGACAAAATAGGTATAAATACAGCTCTGTTCAAAGCTGAAGCAGAGGCATGCATATCAGTTATGCATTTTTTTTTACCATACTTTGGTTTTTGAGGGGGAAGGCACTACTGGAAATCACACTCACAAACTTATACTTGCCAAGCAGGCACTGTGCCTGCTGTGCTGTATCCCCAGCCCAGTTATGCATTTTTGGAAACTCACCCTGACAGCATGCAGGATGAACTAGAGAGAGAAAATGCAAGCCCAGGCCCTTGGGTAAATTGGTCCTCAGGCTGGAGAGACCCAGATGACACCCAGACAGAGGTTCTTGCCCTGTGGGCTCTGCACTGTCTATAGGACTTTGTGCTTGTCAAGAACACAGACAAGCAGGCTGCCCGCCTGGGAAATGCTGTCCATGCCATGATCATGTATCGCCGTAAACTGGACCGTGAAGAGATCAAGCCTGTGAGTGACATCAGAATAGAGGGTGGGAGGGGAGGAAAGGCCTGGGCCTGAGCCATGCTGGGCCTTCCTTGCAGGTGATGGCACTCGGCATTGTGCCTATGTGCTGCTACCAGATGGAGAGGATGTTCAATACCACTCGCATCCCTGGCAAGGAAACAGGTACACATCAGTGCCAAGCCTAAGCTCTGGGCCCACTACATACTCATCACCAATCACCTAAAGTGTGTCAGGGTTGTAAACCTGTGAAGCGCAGTTTGTACCAAATCCCACACATCTGTTATTAGAGCATGATGCTGAGACTGGGGCCCCAAGGTACCCAGATTAGAGCTTCTCCCTTCCAGGTCTTCACCTTGCATGGGAAAGTAGTCATGAGCAATATGTGGCAGTGGAGCTAAGAAGCACAGTTGCCCTTCACAGAGCCTGTGGAAGAGGGAGGAGGAGCTCACCAGGAGTTTGACAGAGAAGCTGACTTCTACATTGCTGTCCCTGCCTCCTTAGACAGTTCATATAGACTCCCTCCTCAATGGGACACTTTCATAGAGTTGTTGTGAGAGGCCACGGGAACACCCAGCCCAGGGCCCGGCCTCGCACACAGGAGCCACCCTGGCCAGAGGAGGAAAGGGCCCCGCCAGAGGCTGGGCAAAGCAGTTTGTGGGGCCACTGTGTGTGGAAGGTGGGCCCTTTCCCGGGCTCAGGAGGGGGACATGGTACTCCCCAAGGCCTTGCATCAGCCTGTCCACTGGCCACCACAGATGTGCTGCAGCATCTT